GATCGCCTTCTGTGCGATATGTATCTACACCGCATTCTGGTGGCGCAGACGAAAAGCGCGGAAAGCGAGGCAAACTCTGCAAACACCTCCTCCGGCCCCAGAGAAAGACTACATGATACGTTTGCCGTCATTAGACAGCACCCGAAGAGGAAGCAAGATTTTCAACATGTCCGCATTCAGCACTCATGTCTCTGACGGCCGGCACAGAGAAGCCCAGGTTCTCGGTCAAAGCAGAGAGTACATTCGAATGGTGAATCAAGACCAAGAGGATGATGGCGCGACACCAAAGACACCCGCGCGCAGCATATCGGAGAAGGGTCGCTCCGGTCGAGACTCGCCAATTGATGGGGCTAGCCCATTCCGACTAACACACAGCGAATTGGCCAGGAGGAGTTTGGGATCTGAAATATCAGAACTATGGCCCTCTCCACCACCGACAGCTTGGGTTCGGCGGCAGGGCATTTTGGATTCCCTACCGGAATCGCGATTTGGTCGGGATATGAGCCGGAGATCATCACAACGTAGTACCAATTCCAATTACAAGCGGATGAGCGACGCAAGCTCGGCCTTCTGAGTTGCTGGAGAGGCGTTTTGGTTAATGGGTTGCGGGCAGGCGGATATCAAACATAGACTGGGTCTTCCCTTACGACTGGACGACTTGCGTAATGGTTCAAGTATACCCACAGGTTGCAGGCGTCCAGGTTGGGGACACCATCATTCACTCACTTTTCTCTGTATACAAGTTAACATTTGAATTATTATGTTCTGGTCAATAGACACACCCTATGCTTTTGTTGTGACCGTGTTCTCAAACTCATCTTAGCGGCCCATTCGGTATGAGCAGCCAACTTCAGCATCTCGTGGCAGTCTACCTGCTGACTGCACTTGGTTCTGTCGTGCGCGCTTGATTGCGCTTCTTCGCATCCTCCCTGGCAGTATCCGTAGAGTGTAGACAGCGTCTATCCCTATTAATCAGAGTATGGGTCTGTCCTCGCAGTTTCTCGTTGTCATACTGCTCAGTCGCTAGAGGCGCACCCTCTGCAGCCGCAGTTTACGCATTGGATCTCCTGGTTCTCTTTGAGCTGATCCCTGGGGACACGGCAAATGCAGGTCGAGCGGAAGTTTGTCTCCTTGGTCTGGATGCAGCGCGTGCAGCATAGCTACTCACGAGTTAGTTTCATTCGAGCTAGGAGGTTGCCTGTGTGGAATGGACTTACCTTCTCATAGCCTTGCTTCTTCCACTTGGCGATCAACATGGCATCTGCATAGCCGTTCTTAAGCAAATAGTCGTAGAGCTGCTTGCTGATGGCCTCCTTCTCGTAGTATAGGTCGTAGATGTAGCGCGAGCGTTGGTGGGTGATTTGGAAGATGGGCCACGTCATTTCGTACTTCTTCTTGCCCTCGTGCGACGCGTTCTCGGCGTCCTTCATCTTGTTCTGGAATTCTAGGAGGGTGTCCTCGATGTCATCGAAGCCCTCCGGCGGGGCCTTGCGCGAAGCGCGTGCGGTACGGACTGGAGGCATGGCTGAGCTGGTTGTGGTAGGCCGAAGTCTGCGAATTTGGCGCGAGGTAAAATATCGATTATGGCGACAGATGCGGTCGAGCTTGGAGTATGCTGTAAAGACGTTGAGGGTATTTGTGGATTCAAGAGAGAAGCCTTCGATAACTTTGCGACTGCGCCGGGAGTAAAATCCGCGCTAACGCCAGGTCTTGGCATTCCACTCCCGCGAGCCGCATCGTCACTCCAGCTCCGGCTTCAAGACGACTGGAAGCTCCCCAACACCGCCAACATGGTCATCAACCCCACCTACCTCGCTCAGCGCACGCGCTCCTGTTAGTCGAACACGCTCACGGAACATTGGGAGAATGGAAAGGCTAACGCGGGCACAGCGGTCAACTGGACTGATGCGAAGAAGAGGGTCATTCACAGCTACCGGGACTGGCTCCGGTCGGTACGTTAACTCCCGGAGATTACAAGTCTTCTGAAAGGAATTTGGGGTCTGGATACAGCATGTGTACGGAAAGAGCTGGAATGTGGGAGGGAAAGCGTGGGATGCGGAGAAGCGGGCAACAGGACCTGGAACCTGGGCTGACAATAACTCTACAGGCTCCCGAAATCCAGACCATGTACTCGCTGAACATGCCCGTATCTACGCTTCGAACGAAAATGCGGCAGGAATTCGAGCGGCATCGATACGTGAATCAACTCAAAACGGTAGATGTACTGCTGTTCAACAGTCATCAGGAGTTCCAGGTACACCACGGACCAACACGCTTTGATAGTGGGGAAGGTACTGATAATCGTACAGGAAACACTCAACTTCTGGAAACAATTGTCACACGTTCTCAAATACTTCCGCGCGGAAGAGGATCCCAAGGCCCGGCTACCAAGCAACTTCATCAACGGCTTCTTGGAGGTACGCTCACTCTTTGCGTTAATACTCTCGCGGAATCATATGCTAATGCGCATGTATAGGGTCGCAACTGATTTGTCCATTACTACCAAAGTCTGGGGACAATCAAGAACAAAATTCGGTGTATATAGCTGAAGACAATACCATTTTCCTTTCCTTTCGCCAGTTGACCATGCTATCCTTGAACGCCAGCAATGCAATACTCTCGTAACTATAGGCGCGTTACGGACCTACTCTTCCATCTTGTTCACAAAGTCATCGCGTGCAATTGTGAACTTCTGCTCGACGACATCACACATGGCCATGAGGTCTTCAAGGCCCTTCTCCAGCACGGTGTATACGCTGACACCATCTAGTGAAGTGTTAGCCGTGGAATCAATTTAGCCGCGCATGCATGACCTACCGTATGTCTGGATGCGCAAGTTCATCTTGGCTTCTGAAGGATGCGGAATGGAGTAACCACAGAACTCGACATCGGGGCTATGGAGCCATTAGCTGTTTACTCATCTATGCGCTGAGAGTTTTGGCTTACTTCTTGTGGATGATGTATCTCAGCGCGTTGCCTAGCGTGTGGTCCTCGCCATCAAATTGGAAAGATGCTGCCGTCTCCGTCGCACCGGATAGCTAAGACAAATTAGATACGTGTTTCTCTCTATCATTCAAATCGTACGTACGACTCTGATCCTGTCGCGATCGATCGCCGGATCAATCTCCTCGTTGTTCTCGGAGGTAGGATCCAAGATTGGGACCTGCGTGGGTTCTTCTGTTGCGCCTGGCATTTTGGCCTTGTTCCTTGCTCTTAACTTAATGAATAGCGGATGTCGGTCGAGAGATAATGCGTTTATGTGACTGCGTCTGAATGACGATCCTGTGTTCGAGACGTGACTTTGCGATATCAAAATTTTGGGGCGGACTTTGGTTCGGCGATTCGTTGGTTGGCCAGACTTTTCCAGCCCTATATTGCTTGGCGCCATGACGTGGGGCGTGGGGAAGCCCCTCTGCATCCGCTTCAACTTTTTGTCTCTCGACTTTGCCATCCACCATTGACTGCTTTACCAGCTCCCAACACCCCCGAAGCCAGCCGAGGTCAATCTTACGCACACGACCGCCACCATGCCGCGCGCCTGCTGCCTCAACCGCGATACGAACGAGACGAAGATCCAGGTCTCGATAAACATCGATGGCGGCGACCTCTCACCCTACGAGCACAGCGACTTCTGGGCGGCCTACGACAAGAAGAGTCTCAATGGCGATGGCGAGAAGGTAGACAAGGATCACGCTACCCAGAAGTCGACATCCCAGGAGATCTCCGTCGACACCGGCATCGGCTTCCTCGACCACATGATCCATGCCATGGCCAAGCACGCTGGCTGGAGTCTGCGCATACGGTGCAAGGGCGACCTGCACATTGACGACCACCACACGAGCGAGGATACCTTCTTGGCGCTAGGCACCGCCTTCAAGAATGCGCTACAGGGAAGCACGGGTCTGGCACGCTTCGGACACGCATACGCACCGCTCGACGAGGCACTGTCACGCGCTGTCATCGACCTATCGAACAGGCCATACAGCATCATCGAGCTGGGTCTTAAGCGGGAGAAGATTGGCGATCTGAGCTGCGAGATGATCCCGCACTGCCTCCAAAGCTTTGCGCAGGCGTCGGGCACCACCCTCCATGTTGACTGCATACGCGGTGACAACGATCACCACAGGGCAGAGAGTGCCTTCAAGGCGCTTGCGGTCGCTATCAGGCACGCGACAACAGTGGTGAAGCAGTGGGAGGGTGAGGTTAGGAGTACAAAGGGCGTGCTGTATTGAAATTAGGCAGGCCATGAAAGAAATTTGTCAGCGTAACCCTGGAACCATGCCGTGAAGCCACACAAGCTATTACCAACTGTACAAAAGAGCTGTAATTGCCGCCATGTCCATCTATCCGTGTACTAATACGTACATCATTGGGTTGGTGAGTCATTACCCGACTGAACCTATCATCACCGTGCTCTACAGTCCCTATGCTACAGCCACGTATCGACGCTGCAAGATTCTGGAACTGGGGGTTCAGATTCCACTCCCCAGCTCTTGTAGGCGAAGGTGCTGTGAAGACTGTGAAGTTTGATACTTATCGTATAGCGTATAGCATGCACATGCACACCGACTTGACGCTCGGCAGTATCTTTATACCGTACTGTATCTGCTACAACCTGTGCTGCATCATGAAAGCTTTTACAGTCCGTACATGTATTGAGAAGGCCACAACTACATTCGAAAAGTTGGACTATCAGTAACCCAGTTGTTACGCCAAACATTGTCTCCTTATCCTCACTGAAGTTCATTCAAGAGCGAAGCCAGTCTTGATTTCTGCCATTCGAAATCATGCGTCATGCTGTCGAGAAACCTCTATCGCGCTCCCTATTATGGTAGCTTAAAGGTTGCGAAAGCCTTGTCTATACAAGACCACTGCAACCTGTTCATGCCAGGGTACTGATGGTAGCCAGTCCGATACCCATGTTTTCACACTGTCTGGACACTCCAACCCTGTGAGTAGATAGAATAAAACCGCCGCAGCGCTAAGTTGGAAAGTCACAGTTACACCATCTGGTGCTTCCTGTTGATAGCCTGTTCCAGTACATGTGAATGAAGGAATGACTCGATTATCCTTCTTAGTGCGCCCGTCCGAAGCATAGCAAAGCCAATCCCAAGTAACATGTATATCGGGTCCATACTGAACGAGCAGAGCTATTATATGTTGGTATTCAGCTTGATACGGGTAAGGATTGAAGAGATGCCAAAGGAGCAAGTTCTCCAAAAAGCACCTCCATGGGGTTGTGCCTTGGAAAGGTTCATTCAGATCAGCGCCATGCTCGAGTAGCACTCTCAACACTTGAACACGTTGATGAACTGATGACGGGTTCGTCGAAAAACTCCAGAGTAGAGACACTAGCAGAGGTGGCCAGGCTTTTGTTCTGTCCGTGGCCAGGTCCGGATTCTGCCGCAACATAAGCGACACATACTTGGATGCGGAATAGGCGATGGCCACGGCGAAAATGTCGGGATTAAACTCTTTAGAGACAAATCCCATGATGATAGCCTTGAGATTCATCTCCTGTGTGAGTGGCAAATTAAGGAAATCGTCAAGTTTGGACCAGTGTGCTTTCATCTGCTCTTCCTCTGTCTGTTCCACAATTGGCACTAAATATTGCAGTAAAGTGCAGAGCTTGTGTTTCACATCCATTGGACCTTGCTTCCCGAAGTGAATGCCGATATCTTGAATCGAACCAAGCGTCCATGCGATAGATGCCTCTGCCTTGAGAGCGGCGATCGATGCTTGGGCACAAAGCTCAGGCATTTCGAATGCCATACCGGCTTCGGTCATGATCTGGTGTCTCATATCATTTCTGTCAAGGAGTTCTGCCATAGATCTGTGTGCTAGTCTGACACGTTCGTGGCTCAGCTTTGACATCTCGATCTCGTGCTGGGATCCATGGAACGCATCGCTCGCAAAGCACTGTCGGCATTCTAACAGTCCTCTACTGCGCGCGTTGAATCTTTTACGAACTGTGGCCGCAAATAATACCATGTCTTCACCTTTCATGAACTGTTGAAGGCTTGGGGCGTTTAATATCTGTTTGCGACTTTCATCGTCCAAGTAATGGTGTGTAAGAAGTTCGTCCCGGCCGGGCATTGTACATAGTAAGAGTGAGCGAGCGGTGTTTCTGCGATACTGAGGCTCAATAGTTGACAGTATGTGCATGTACATTTCATCCAGTTCGCGGGGAAGACGCATCAGCCGCCCTTGGAGGTCAGAAACACGGTCCGCGTTAGCCAACCCGTTGAGCAAAGAATTGCATGCGAGGTAGACCCAAAGGAAGACTCCTTCCGCAGCGGAGGTGATATTGGCAATGAGAGTTGCATAGCCAGAATCCTGTGATACGAGTTGCGCAAACGCAGGGTGTTCGCTCAGCGTGTCTTCGGTATATGTTTTGATGTCCTCTGAGGTCAAGTCGTGTATGGGTATGCAGAAGTCTCTATCCTTTCCCAAATGTATCTCAAACTCATTTAGGGGTCGACTAGCCACGCAAAGCTTTGCTGAAGGACTTGCCTGCATAGCGCGAAGCAGACGTAGTAAGTCTTGTACATCTGGCGCCGAATTTTTACGTATCTCTGCACGGTCGTCAAATTCGTCGAGGCCATCGATGATGAACAACATAAATATGTTGAAGCTAGGCGCCAAGTTGAAAAGATTCTGGCAGCCGTTCCACAAGACGTCCTGTGGAAATTGAAAATCTGTCCCGGCGTGCGTCCACTCGCGTCGTGGAAAGACTTTCGGGATGAGCTGAGGGCATTCCTTAAGAGCCTGGTAGAGTATTGATTGCAACAATCCCCTGAATGACCGTTGCAGAATCGTTCCTTGTCTCCAGAGGTAACAGTCGATGACGAGCAATGAGCGCGATCCCAGCCAGGATTGACAATGCAATCTCAGATCCGGGTGAGTAGCAATGAACTGACCGATGCGAGGATATGAAGTTAGTGTACGAACCGGACATTCGATATGTTCAAGAACTTACCTTAATCAAAGTACTTTTCCCCGCACCAGGTTTTCCGTACACCCAGAACACGTTTCTGTTAGCATCGTCCAGCCGTAACCAGTTCTTGAACTTGTTTTTGTGAACAGATCCAAACAGGTCTCCAGCCCCATCGAAGATCCAACTAAACGTGTCTTTATGCGCTCGCTTTACTTGATCGGCTCTACTCCTGAGTTCTGAGGAATAGAGTGCGTGTAGACATTGCCTATTCGCCTGGGAATCTTGTTGATCTTTGAGCCATCGCTGTAACTCTACCACGAGCTCTGCTGTAGTGTTCGCGGTGTTCGAGTTGTTTTCAGTTACTTTGCGAACCCTACTCAGGTGCTGCTCGATGATCTTCATGTCATGGTCGATGGAGAAATTGTGTGACGCTATCTTATCGCCAAGGTGGTCCACATTGCGATCTATGTTCGGGATGTGGGTCATGATAATGTGCGCCTTGAGCTCTTCTGATAGTCGGTCAACCTTCGCCTGAGACTCGTACAGCTGGCGCTGCTTGCGCCGTGCTTTGAATGCTGCAGCCGAGGCATGAAGGAAGGTACGGGGACCCTTCAGTCGAAGCGAATCCAAGAGAGCTATGTGCTCGTTTATAGCGACCTCGCTTTGAACAGCGAGACTCTGGATAATATCGCCGTTGTGATTTTGCTGCAGGTCCGCAACATCTCGACGTAGGATCTCCACGGCTGTACGTAGATCTTCGTGGTCTTTCGGTAAGCCGCTGCGAGAAGTTTGGATCTCCTTTGCGGTTGCGATGATCTTTCGAGAGAGTTCGGCAATTTGTATAACATTACATGCCAAAGAGAAGGCAGCCACACCCTCCATGGAGAAGCGATAGTAAAATCTTGTTCAGAGATCGTGAGAACAATGGAGTTGTTTTGTGAATGTGCCGGTGTCTGCCAGGAATGTCCCACTGGAATGATAGATGTACTCTTGCTACTCACATGACAGCTGATCAGCGGTTGAGATTGTGGCTGCGGCACAGCATGAGGGGTCGGCACATCAAGCGTTATGATACGGCAACAATCCTTGCAAGCTGCATTGTCGTCCGGCCTGCCACATAATATAGATAGGTTCGTATTTCCTGACCTGTACCGCTACGCAATTTACTGTTAGCTTCGTGGTTCCTGGTCGTATTGTGGTGAGATCAGAGATGCTGATAACTTGATGTACCCTCTTATTCGAGTATCGCATCAATCAATACGAGCTGCTTGATTGACGGGACTGGGGTACTTCATTGGATAGCGACACCGAGATACTACCGATTGGTACTTCTGAATGAAATCCTCGGAATGATGTTTGTTTAGGCCTCTATCCCTCACAAATCTGTACGCGGATCCAGCAAGAGAGTCGAACCCCTTCTTCGAATTTGATGCATATCCACAGTCAAATTGGGAAGTAAGTGGCAGCATGAAGTTGCGCAAACGTAGCAAGATAATTTGACCAGCGTCCATCGGTTTCCCATGGCGAAAGCGGGACCACAGAAAGATGAGGTCCATTTATTGGTGCATGTGCTGCGCGTCGCAGCATCAATCGTGCATGCGGGGAGACGTGTTACTGGCGGTGTCATCATACACGCGACTTCTCCAAATGCGTTAACGCCTAGTGTCTGCAGAAGGCGCGCTGTGTGTCCATGCGGCTTCGAAAGTGGAGATAGGAGAAAAGGGGACGCTGCGATGCGACGCGCCTCGAGGTTGCAGGCAGGACTATGTGGAAGGACCAGTCGGCCTGCGCTAGCCCGAATGAGACCCGGAATAGAAGCCGCGTCAAACGAACACGGTATCTCCAATGCTTCTGAGGAAGTTTACCCTTATAACCACCTGGTATGGGGTTTAAAGACTCCATATCGAGAGTTCGTACTTCGACATAGACTCTCGCGCGCGTGGTGTCGGAAGTGAAGACGGTAGAAAGGTTATCAAGGCTTAGAGAACCGTGGCTGGTCCGTTTAACGATCAGCCTGAGCTTCTGGTCACGGATGGAACGATACTCAAAAAGCTGATGTTGTACTTTCATTGTGCTCAAGGATATCTTTAGTGGCTCAATGACGCCTGCAATGCAATAATACCTGTGTGAATCCAGGCTAATGTACAGAATAATAATGCTCAAAACCTGGAATAAATGTATGAGATGGGTGTGATCGAATTCTGGAGCGGGAGACACATACCTTATTTCATAATTACCCGCTCTCGTCATGTAGCGCACCCACTTTACACTGCTGTAGTTGCTCTTCTCAAACACCTTCAGGTATCGCACAAGTAGCCCCGAACTCGTGAACATCAACAACGAGAAGCTCAGATTGAGCGGTGGTCGGGACCACGCCTTCTGGTTGGTCATGCTGGTCAGGCTGGCCTCGGCACTCAGCACAAACTCGCTTTGCCCTGTGAATCTCGGTATCTTCCAGACGATGTTGTTGTGCTCCGGCTCGTACTTGGCTTTGCCTTGTGATGTCCGCTCGGTGATGCGCGCCGTGTTGAGGGGTGTTGGTATCCGCACGACAACGTTTGTCGCGAAAAGCTTGGAGCCATAGTTGGCGCGAATAGCAATGCTGTATTCGACCTTGGTCTTGCCAACCTCGTTGACAATGGCGTGCACCTTAAAAGGCAAGTTTACGTTCTCCGTTGCTCGGTAGCGCATCAGCTCGAACTCGCCGTCGGGCGGAACGAAGGATATTATCCTGTCCGCATCGAACTTGCCCAGCTTCACGCATTGGTGGAATTGGCAGTCTTCCAGCGTCACACTTCCCGCTGCCGCCCTTGTAGCCTTCGCGCCTGCCTTGTTTCCAGACGGTTGTTGTAGATGGTCTTCGCCCAGCGTTAGTCGGTCGTTGAGACCGAACTTGCACTCGGGTGTGCCCGAGAGATATGCGCGCATTATGATCTGTCCGTTCACGTCGGCTCGCAGTACTGTCCCCGTCGCGGACATGAGCAGGTTGACGTCCTCGATGACATCGACGAAGGCTTCGTTCTTGCGGTACTTGATATCGGCCCGCCGCCAGGAAAGGGCACCAGTTGCTTGCATTGTGATCTTCGAGGAGTCCTCCTGTGATTTTGTCAGCTGTTGTTGCTCTGGTCGCGCTCGATGTGACCTACCATTGCCCTTTCCGACTTGACACCTTCAGTCGTGATGTACATCTTCAACGTGTCTGTCTCTGTATTCTGTGGATATCCAAAGTCCAGAATCTCGTCCAGCAGCTCATAAACCAGTACGAAGTTGTTCTTGACGGCCTCCTCGTCGAACTTGCCGAAGTAAGCCTTTCCCAATCCCACCAAACGGTACAGGAACTCAAAGACGAGCGCCGCATTGGCATTGCTCTTGGTCACGGCGACCAGGTATATGTTCTCGTGTTTGACATGGCTAAAGGTGGTGGAGCCAAGGGTGAGGATGGGCGAGCGTACTTGGGCGTTGGAGATGACCTGAATGCGGAAGACATCGGCAAGTCGCGGGCGGCAGTCGTTGCGGAAGGCGCGAAAGATGAGGTTCTCACCCTTCTGGTTGAAGATGAGAATTCCAGAGAGCATGGCAGCGACGTGGAAGGGGACAGCGGTTGTCGGCAGGGAATTGGCTGGCTTCGGCGTGTTGATGCTCGGAGCTCCACCCACCACGCCGCCGCGGGATTGAGCTCGGACCGTCTCGCTTGTAGCGATTAGGGGTCTCAGGGACGGCTTGCATCCCGAGGTCCTCGCCGTAATCAGGGCACGCCATCCAAGTACATCAATCGAAGTAGCGATAATAGAGCTTCAGCAATCTCATCCGAAGTGTTACGATCAATTCTATCTATATTCAACGGCTAGTTGAATACCTATCTCAGACACACGCGCGCAGAGACAGGCTCTCCCTACCTGGAAATCGATACGGAATGAGTACGACTCAGGCTGTGGATTCTTTGAAGGACCGAGTCTACCAAAGGCTGCTGTGGAAATGACCTTGTAGCGTCTCCAGACTGAATTCTACACCGTTCGCTCAACCGTCAGTAGTACCAGACCACGGCTTGAGCGTCGGCAGTTTCTGCGGATCCAGCTTTGCCATCAAAGCAGCGTACTCCTCCGCAGTAAAGCTTCTCTTTATCTCCTCCATTCGCATACCAATGTCATGACGCTGGTGATATAGGGCTGCGTATTCTTCCTCCAACGTGGTAAACTGATTAGACGCAGGTGTACTAGGGAACTCGCCTCGAGGCTCTGGCGTCTCTTCTGTCGATACACCTGACATTGGACTACTACGTCGTCATTATGCCTTCCGAGCAAATTTTCTCAAAATGTTGCTTACCGCATACTTGACCCTTGAGGTAATTCGACGGTAGTCGGCACTAGACCTGGCGAGTTCGACATGTTCTCCGGTCGATTCGGCTTTCGAGACCTGATTTGGTCTTCGAATTGACCTCCTGAACTTGGCTGAGGGAGGAAGAAAGCTGTGGAATCTTGCCCATATGGCTGTGTTGTAGGGAAAGGCGTTGCACCGTAGGCACTGGGCTGAGGAGCTTGGCCATACCCAGCATACGCTGGTCCCGATGTGATTTGAGGACTACCAAAGAATGAATCTGAATGGGGATGTGGGCGGTGGTCATCCGGTATCGTAGGACATCGAGGTTCCGTACGCCGTGGATCTTGGACAAAGTTAGGACGGTCTCGACTGTTTCGTAGGGACTCCCCCTCACTTTTGCCGCGCCCGGTCATGTTTTCGTTATACTTTTCCACCTTGGGGTTGTGCGTTCTGGGGATGAGCGGCTGCGAACTGTCGCTTTCAGGGGTACAGGGCGCCGCAGTGGTAGAGCTCGCACGGGTCTACTTTCGGACGGCTTTCACTGCCTTGACTTGCGTCTTTGAACAAACGAGATCATTACAGGCGGCACGCAATACTTCCTCCATTTCTAAGTAACTCTGTATTCATCGTTGAACTTGCTCGCTCGCTTGCATTAGCTCACGAGGGGTGAGTCTACAACATCGCAACATGCGAACAACCGAGGATTTGGTTCACTTCATTTATTATCTTTACACGTATGGAACGAAAGACGATCCCGCCACCTCTTCCGCCACCTCGGCGTGCGGTTCACATGACATCGAGCGCCTCCAATAACCCGGAGATCTCCTCTACAACTTCCTCAACGCACTGTCCAGCATCTACAGGTATCACATCCGTCTCTGATACATCAGCCGTCTCCCAGATGGCCAGCTGACTCTCCACCATATTGTCTTTCATGTAATGACCACCTCTTCCTTTCGTTCGACGCACAAGCTCTTCCGGCTCGACTTGCAAGTCCACAAACACAACCCGTATCTGTTCATCCATCAAACCCCGGAACTGATCCCGATATGACTTCTTCAACGCCGAACAGGAGACGAATACGCGCTCGTGGTCTTCCTTAGTCACTGTATCGAGCGCTCGCTGTCTAACGCGCGCGAGCCAAGGGGCGCGAGCGACGTCATTGAGGGGAGTACCGGCAGCCATCGATACGATGGCTTCTTCGGTGTGTAGTTCGTCGCCCTCGATACAAGGTGCTTTGAAGTGAGTGCCGAGGCGTCGTGCGACAGTGCTTTTCCCGCTACCACAAGGCCCGGCAACTACAATGACAACGCGTCTCATCGGCTTCGCGACTAAAGTAGTACGTATCTGCCAGGCAGCACTCTGGAATTGTCTGACAAATGTCTTCACAAAGGCTGCATCCAATACAGGCGCTGTCTCGAGAGAAGGCGAGAAAGCTCTGGCGACAGTGGTATCATATGTACGCGAGGGACCGAAAACGTCCTTGTCGTACTTAGATGCGAAGAAGTCAGCAAGCTTGATGGGTGGGTTCGCTACGGCATCCTGATTGGACTCGCGAAGCCTGCGCACCCATTCCTTCGGTTCAACTTCATCAAATTGGAGGCCGGCTTCTCGAAGGGCAGGAAGTAGATCGTCGGTCCAAGAGAAGGTCTTTGCGTTGGTGACATTCGCCACTACAGATCCAGCGTCGCTGAGCGAGATCTCCGTTACGGCTTTCGCAATAACATCGACTGGTGTCCAGCTTGGGGATTCTTGCAGTCGAGGTAGCGCACCGACAGTAAGAGCAGACTGCATCATGAGCGGTATTGCTTCAGTTGAGTTCCACACACCATGAACAGTGTCCGCGACGATCTGACCGACACGTAGAATTCGCGCTTTGACACCGGTCTCCTTCGCTGCCGCCAAGCACAAGTGTTCGGCAACACATTTGCTCTGGGCATATCCCATGCTCTGAGCCCAGTCAAGCTCGGCTAATCGCTCAGGCGTGCGCATATCGGGGCATCGTGCGACGGTACTGACCGAAGAACAAAAGTCGAAGGATGCCGGCTTGGTTGATGATGAAGCCAGGCAGAGGTCAATCAGGTGACGCACACCAGCAATGCAGTCCTTCTCAAATGACATCAGGTTCTTGTTAAAGTTGACGCTCCATGCGCAGTGAATAACACTGGTAAGACCTGAAGCAACACGCGCATACGTCGTATCGTCTAAGCCGAGATGGGGCTCGGACAAGTCAGAAGGTATGGCTTGTATTTTCCTGCGTCCGGAGAGCGAAAGGGTGTGGTACAACTTTCGCTGTATGAGAGACTCTCGAACCCGGCGAGCTGCGGTCTTGTAGTCTTTCGCTCGTACAAGACAGTAAACTGTGTCAATATCCGAGCGGTGGAGCAGTTGTACGAGAACATGAGCGCCAAGCGAACCGGTCGCACCAGTAAGCGCAGCTTGACGTCTAGCAATGGGCTCGAAGTTGCTGTATTGAGCAATAAGGTCTTGCATTTGCGCAGTGACCGACACAACTTGTTCTTCTTGCCCGGTGCGAAGACTGTCGAGATGTGCGGCGAGAGATGCAATAGAAGGATGGTCAAATACCACATTCTGGCCGAGCTTCTTGTCACCGATGTCAACGTTCTTGAGAATCTCCGTCCGGATTTGGATCGATTGCAGCGAGTCCAGACCTAGCGAGAAGAAATCTGTGGTACGTCCGACTTCCCCTGCCTGCGTCAACTGTTTGGCCAGGACAGTACGTAAGAAGTCCTCAAGTTCCGGAACAGTCAATGTTTTGAGATCTCCTTGAGCCGTTGCGGCGGCATCATATGCGTTGTCAATTTCTTTGGCATATTGCTTGTAGAATTGCTGTCTTATCACACTGCCTTTGTCGGTACGTGGAAATTGACAGCCATACGGTAGGATCTGAACCATGTCCCTGGATATCCTGGCGTACGCTTCGGCCGTCTGATTCGCAGCCTCAATAACGGGCCAGATCTCATCCACGACTTTCGATTCCGGCATGCCCTCGATTGCTGGGACGACAAGAACGCCAAGGTATGGTCGACCTGAACCAAAGACAACCGTCTCGGTTACAGCTCGATGTGACCGGATCGTTCCTTCCATCATGACTGGATTGAACTTTTCGCCATTCACCAATACGATTGTATCATCGAGACGCGCAATGTATTTCCATGCCTTCTCGATCGTAGGGTGCGGTTCGAACAGGTCTTTCGTGGCGTAACTGCCATCTGGTAGGTTCGAGGCGACCTTCGCTGGCCAGCCCGGCAAGACCGTGCATTCGTAGAGATTGGGTCCGCGTGATACCCATCGAAGATACGGCGATAATTTCGGCGACTCGCGAACGTAGTTCCATACCTTATCGTCGGCAGGTCGGAAGGATGTCATGAGTTGGCCTACTTCTGTGCTGCTCATAGTAAGCTTGGCTTTGCTGTAAGTGATCACATGAAACTTACGCCCCATAGTGGCCGACAAGATTGACCCCGCTGTTCACCAATAGGTCGCCCAGCGTGTCTGGGCAGGCACTCCCTCCGTACATGACGATCTTGAGTTGCTTCAATAGCTCGATCCCCTCATCTGTCTCAGAGAGAAGCTTGAGCGCATAAGGCACACCATAGAAGATCTCAAATCTATGCTGCCTCAATATCGTAGCCAGATAAGATTGGGTCAGGGGCAGGTCGGCGTTGTAGATATGGATGGATTTGCCGCTGTATATCGCGCGGAAGAAGTTGCAGATGCCGTGATTATGATACAGGGGAAGGGTAATGAATGCTTTCATGTCCATACTAATGGCATAATTGGCGATTGCACTTCGCTGTGGCTGGTATATTGGCTTCGGCAGTCCGGTAGAGCCTTTCTTCACATTAGCTCAAACACCAACAGACTGTTAGATAAAACATACCACTGGAGTGTATGATGTAAATGTTGTTTGAGGCTTCGACTGTATGGTCGAGCTGGTAGTCAAGGCGGGTGTCTGCATGGACTTCAACAGGAAAGTTGTAAGTGTTAGGCCTGGCAATTTCGCTGATCTGCAACCCTGGTATGGCTTTCTGAGCATCGATTGCAGATTGCGCATATCGTGAATCCGCCAGCAGATAGGTGGCTCCGGTTGTGGTGATAAGAGAGTCGATAGCTGCTTGAGATATACGCGTTGAAAGAAAAAGTACCGTATGGCCGAGTTTGGTAAGCGCAAGCATCGACACAATGTAATCCATATTGCTTGGTCCAAGAACGGCTACTGTGGTTGGCATCTCCG